AAAAACTAGAAAACCAAAAAAAAAAGGAAAACAAAGCCCCAAGGATCCCACTGGTGTGGCTAAAAGGACTGGGGAAGTTGCTCCCAGGCCACGAAGTACAGCCTGGCTAGAAGGAGTACTGGTGTCACACAGCACCAGGTATTCAGGAGACAGGAAGAGTAGGTAAGTATAGAGAGATGAGAAACTGAGGAATGAAGAAGACAAAAAGGGAAAAAGAGAGAACAGAAACCAAAGGAAAAAACAAACAAAAAAACAAAAAACAAACAAAAGAGAAAACCAAGAAAAAAGAAATACTCCCAGGAATCCCACTGCACAGCTGCCCTGACTGAAGGAGAAGCTCCCAAACTGTGTAGTACTACCCTGCTAGAAGGAGCTCCCACAGCAAGAAAAGAAAAAGAAAACAAACAAACAAAGCAAAACAGAACAAATCAAAAGAAACAAACAAACAAAAAGCCCCGTGGATCCCACCAGTGTGGCAGCATGGGCTGGGGACTAGTTTCTCAGTCGAGCAATGTTTCACAGCCTTTCAGGAAGAAGCAAAGATGCACACGAAGCCAGGTATTTGAGAGAAAGTTGGGGGAGGTGGTGAGAGGTATGGAAGAAACCAAAAGAAGTGGAAAAAAGCAACGCCAACAACCACCAAATGGCACTCAGGGAGCTGGCCAGCGTGGGCAAGTGGAACCCAAATGGCACAGGGGTGAAGTCGGTGCTTCCCAGCTAAGAGACTGTGGCCGCAAGAAGCAGAGGAGGCTGAGTGTGGGTGAAGAAGGGTGAGGGGTGGGAAAGCGTATATTGACAATTACCAGTTATTCTCTCTCCTGCTGGGAGCTCTGTGAAGCTTCTTTCATGTACTCCCTGTTCGCTGATCTCTGACAGGAGTCCAAGATGGCAGATCCATGCTGCGTTAGCTGACAGGGGACCTCTGCATGTATCTCTCCTTGCTCTCTGTTTTCTGTCAGTTTTCTCTCTCCATTTGGTGCTTGGATTCCTTGTTTGTCTTTGGTTTTGGCGAGTGTGATTATGATATGCCCTGGTGATTTCCTTTTGTGGTATAGCCTATATGGGGTTCATTGAGCTTCTTGGGTGGCCAGCTTTTCATCTTTCATGATATTGGGGAAGTTTTCTGTCAGTATTTCTTCAATGATCCTCTCTGTGTTTTCTGTTTTCTCCCCCTGTTCTGGAACTCCGATCACTCGAAAATATTTGCTTTTGATTGTATCCCACATAATTCTCAGGGTCTCTTCATTTTTCTTTGTTCTTTTTTCTGAGTGTTCCTCGAACAGTGTTGTAGCCAAGTGTTTGTCTTCAATTCCACTGATCCTGTCTTCCACTGTTTCAGAGCTGCTCCTCAGCCCTTCTATGACACTGTCCGTTTCTGAAATCTTGTTGTTTATCTTTTGGATTTCTAATTGTTGTTTTTGTATAATTTTTAGTTGTGAATTTATTTTGACATTTTGTTCCTGCATTATTTTCCTGAATTCTTTCATTTTTTGTCTGTATTTTCCATGAATTTGTCTGCCTGTTCCATGAATTTGTCTATTTTCCCCTCATTTTTGTCTGCTTTTTGCTTCAGCTCTTGGAGACTTCTGAGTATTAAAGATTTGAATTCCCTATCAGGTAGTTCTAGTGCCTTTTCTTCTACTGCAAAGTCATCTGGTGTTTTATTTCGGACGCCTACTGGAATCATCCTGTCCTGTTTTTGTAAATGTTTTGATATTGTCTGCTGTCTTTGGGGCATTCAGTAGTTATTTTTCTCATTTATTGATTGTAGATTAGTTTGTTTCATCCTTTTTTTTTTTTAATTCGGCTACTTCTGAGCAGGTGGGCTGTGTGTTCTTTGTTGTTTGCGTGTCTATGGGCAAGATACTTTTCACCTCCTTCTCCAATTGGCAGGGTCAGTCGCTCAGATATGTTACAGCAGGGCAGGTCTAGCTGAAGAGGAGTTGCTGGGATGGGTTGTTTGTGGCACTTCCTACAACCACCAGGGCGGGTCGGTAATCAGTGCACAGTAGGTTCCAGTAGGCCACGCCTGTGCTGCTTGGTGGTGTGATGTTAAGCACACGGTGCAGGTAGGCAGGAAGGAGGACGGAGACTGTGATGTGTGCAGCTAAGATGGGTATGGGAGAGAGGAGAGAGGGACAGGAGCCAAAAACATACAAACAAAAACGAGTGCTAGGGAAGCTTGCTGTTGGAGTGGAGAGATGAGAGACTATGAAATGGAGAAAAACAAAAAGGGGAAGAAGAAGAAAAGAAAAAAGGAAAAGAAAAGAATGAATAAATAAAAATTAGAAAGAAAGAAGAAAAGAAAAGCTTCCAGGGATCCCACCAGTGCAGCTACGAGGTCTAGGGAAGTTGTTCTCAGGTGTTGAAGTACAGCCTGCTAGAAGGTGTAGAAGTGTCATTCAGCGCCAGGTATTCAGGGGACAGGAAGAGAAGGAAGGTATAGAGAGATGAGAAACTGAGTAATGAAGAAAGACAAAAAGGGAAAAAGAGGGAAAAGAAAACAAAACAAATTAAAAAAAAAAAAAAAGAACAAGAACCCCCCCCAAAAAAACAGAAAAAAAAGAAAAAAAAGACCATGAGAAAAGAAATGCTCTCAGGGATCCCTCTGCACATCTGCGCAAACTGAGGGGGTAGGTCCCAAGCCACGCAGCCCTGCCTGGCCAGAACGGGCTCCCAACTCCAGAAAAGAAAAAGAAAACAAACAATTTGAAACAAACAAACAAAATCCCCAGGATCCCACCAGCGTGGCAGCACGGACCGGGAAGCAGTTCCACACTCAAGCGGAGCTCCACAGCCCCTCAGAAAGAAGCAAAGATGGTGCACAGAGCCAGGTATTTGAGCGAATGGAGGGGGAGGTGGTGAGAGGTAAGGAAGAAATCAAAAGAAGTGGAAAAAAGCAACACCAGCAGGCAACAAATGGCACTCAGGGAATCGGCCACTGTGAGTGGGTGGAATCCAAGCAGCCGGTGCTTCCTGGCCAAGAGACTGTGGCCGTAAGAAGCAGAGGAGGCTGAGTAGGGGTGAAGAAGGGTGGGAGGTGAGAAAGCATATATCGCCAGTTACTGGTTGTTATGTCTCCTGCTGGAGGCTCCGTGAAGCTGCTTTCTTGTACCCCCTATTTGCTGGTCTCTGATGGGAGTCCAAGATGGTGGATCCTTGCTGCATTAGCTGATAGGGGACCTCTGCATGTATGTCTCCTCGCTCTCTGTTCTCTGTTAGTTTCTTATTCCATTTGGCGCTTTGCTGAGTTCTTGATGTTTATGGTTTCAGGATTGCTGTTTTCTCTGTTTGGCTTAATTTTTCGAATTTTTGCTGTGGAGGAATGGCGTGGTGCTTCTGCCTAGAGTGCCATGTTGCCAGAGTAGATTGGCAGTTTTAACATCACAATTTCCTGAGGCCTTTACTGACAGTTTCCAGTTAGCTATACCCTCTCCTTTGCCATGAAGAATAGTGACTAACATTTCTTGAGCACTTATTGTATGCCAGTATATACTCAATATCCATTATCTTATTTAATTCTTAGAACAAATTACGAGTGTGCACCAGATACTAGGGATATAGTGATGAGAGAAACAGACTTAGTGCCTGCAGTCATGGAACTTATAGTCTAGAACCTTCTACCTGCACAACCTGAGACTTTGACCTTCACTTCTCAGAGTTTATCTGATGCTCAGAGCAGCTTCGTGGAGACTGATCAACAAAATCCTGTGTTTGTCTTTCTAGGTACCATTTCCAGGTGGCTCACATCTATTGGCAGACCTTTATCAGGGCTGGCTTTCACTTGGCCCTCTGAATAGTGCCTGCTCCTGGATTTCTTATGGCAATGCTTTGCTTGATGGTTGGGACACCCCACTATTGCCTGTATGTCAAAGAAATAAGAACTTAGAAATGACTGAAATAACAATGGCCTCAGAGCTGAAGTGTAAGAGCAACTGGTAGAGGATCGAAACAGGTATAAACACAGTCACCTTAAGGAGACAACCTTTGAATTAGTTTATCTAAATCCTTTCTTCTGCTCTGCTGTCCAAAGAGATGGTCACATGACCCAAGATAGCCAATTGTAATACATTATACTCTAGTCCCAGTGATTGGATCAAGGCGTGGGCATGTGACCCAAGCCAGACCAATCAGTCTTTTCCTTTACTTTCTTGTTATGTAAGGATGTGATCCTGCAGCTTCTGGCAGCCATGGAGAGGCCAATCTGGGAGAAGAAAACTAAGATACATATACAGACAGTGAGAGAGACAGAGAGAATCTGGATGGTGTTCACAACCCGCATGGTAGATTCAGACAGACATGAGTTAAAATCTCAGTTCTTACACTTACCACTCATGTGACTCTGAGCTAGTTCCACTACCTTACTTGAAAGTAGGAATCTCAGGGTCGTGATAAGAGTTAAAAAGAAATTTTCACAGTTACTCACACATAGTAAGTACTTGACCATTGCAGAATTACTCTCAGATGTGATTTAGAAGGAGGCTTAATTATTAGCCTATGAGATTTTCTGTAATATTGGAGCCCCTCTGAGAGTAATTTAATCTCCCCCCTTTGTCTTGTTTTCATGGTACACTTTTGGCATGTGTGAGGTGTCACTTACATGGCACTGAACACTGTGAGAGGCACATTGTAGGAGCTCTATAAATGTTGACTGCCCTCTTTAGGGATCTCCCTCTGATGCTGCCCTAAGCAAAGAAGAGCCTGACCTGTGACCAGGACTGTCCTGTCTTTGGGGGAAGGACTGTCCTGTGGAGGTGATGGTGGCATTGGGCCACCATAGCTCCAAGACCACCCATGCTTACATTTCTCTTTGTATGTATATTAATACATTGACTTTCTGATTTTTATTTAAAAAAAAAAAGATCATGCCTTCTTCACAGTCTTTCCCTCTGACTCTACAATCTGAGCTCTTCCACTGAGACAGCTCTGCCTTCACATTCCTGGAAGAAAGGGGCTGTGCACATACCTTGCACTGATTCAGAATCACAATGCCTGAGTTCTTGTAATTCTTCTTCTTAGCTTTGTACTTAGGGTTGATGCACTCCCACTGCACCTGAAACAAGAGGAGTCATAAGACAGCTTGCTCGGGAAGAAGGTGAATTATTCAGTAAGGCCAAGCCATCAGGCACTGCTGTGGATGGACTGAATGGCTGATAACGGTCTCTAGGTCGTCAGCCTTACATCTAGAGGGGCAGTGACGGAGAGTGGTTGAGAGTACAGACTATGGAATTAGACTCTCTGGTTTGAATCCCTCCACTTCTCAGCCGTGTGACTTTTGGCAAATTGCTTGACTCCTCTATGCCTTGGATGTCTCTTCTGTAAAATGATGCTCATAATTGTATCTATCTCATAGGATTGTTGCAAGGATTAAATAATTACTATGTTAATGCACTTCGAATGGTATCTGACATGTATAAATGTTTACTATTAACAGGGTCAAATCAGGTGGCAGATGGCAAAGACCTGCAGACACAGTTGAGTGTTGTCCCAGTGCTGAGTGTTAGTGCCTTGGAATTGATGTAAAAGGCAGGAAAATTGAGGAATGCTGAATGCTGGCTCCAGGAAGTAATGGGGACAACAATGAGTTTACACAGAACTTCACTGAGAACTAAAATAATAAATTGATATATGTCACATCAGTGGTATGATGGTTCTCTATGGGGCCTCCACTAGGGCCTCTTCAAGGGATGGCATCAGAGCTGCAGGAATAGCTGGGAACTGAGGACCTTAGCTGGGAGCTACGTAGGGGAATAGGTGCCAACCTTTTCTAGCCTCTGGAAGATTTCGTGGGACAAAATCAACTGTGGGTCAAACAACCCAGAGCCATTGAATGCACTCTGGAGTGTATTCAAGAACCAAGGTTGCCAAGAATCACTGGTATCACTCCCTTCACTGGTCTACATGGGAACAACAGTACTGCCTTAATGAGATTCTAGTTGTTTCATACCTGACCCAGAGGTGGCCTGAGGACCCACTCAAAGAGAAGAACTGGTGTCTTGGTCCAGACTGATCCTGGAGCTCAAGATTGTTCTGCTGTGGTTGGGGAGGCCAAGAGAAGAAGTGAATGGGAATGATATTGAAAATTACCGAAGTGTCTCTAGGGCCTGGAACAGGGAGTATGCATAGCTGCCAACACAAAATCACCAGGGAGGAGCTGCACATTTGCATTTTTAATCAAGCACCATAGGTGATTATGATGATATTATTAATTTTGGAAGCCCTGCTACAATAAATAGGAGCTGTGGTGGCACAGTGGTTAAGCGCTCTGCGGCTAACAGAAAGTTTGGAGGTTTGAACCTATTAGCCACTCTGGGAGAAAGATGTGGCAGTCTGCCTCCGTAAAGATTTACAGCCTTGGAAACCCCGTGGGGGCAGTTCCACTCTGTTCTATAACGATGTTGATATGAGTCACTATGGGGTCAATGGCAATGGGTTTGGTTTGGGGTTTGCTACAATAAATATCATAACCGTTTCCTTAAATTTGTTGCTGTCCTCACTGGCACATATTCTCCCTTCTCCTCCCATTTGCTTACCCTCCCCCCAGCCCTCATTAAGTTTGTCCATGCTCAGTTCATATTTTGGGATTTATCATTTCTTTGCCAGTAATGAGAATTTCAAGTTTCATTCCTAAACATGGGTTGTAAAAAATAGCCACTCCCACATCAGCTCCTAGGGAAGTAACAGTGTCTTAAAAAGCCGCACAATTCATAGTTTTATCCCTGGGGTCATTTCCAAAGGAAAAGCAAAAAATGTTACATGTCTAAGGATATTAAATGCAGTACTATTTTTAAGAGTGAAAAATTTTAAACAAACTTCAGGTATATCAATATAGGTTTGGTTACTTAAATTATGGCAATTGATGGAATGTGCACCTACGAAAAATGGTAACTGTGGAGATCAAGTTGCAACATGGAATAGTGCATATTATATAATGTTAAGTGAAGGGAGAAGAAAAAAGCATATGTACATATCTTGAAGGAACATGAAAACATTAAATGACATTTGTTAGTTGGTGCTGACTATGGGATATATTTAATTACAGGTTTATTAATATTGTCATAGTGGTGCTTGGGCACTTTAAAAGTACAAAAGCTTAGTCTGATGGGTCATGTGTCAAATCAGTTGTAGAAGAGAGAATGGGTGGATCATGGAGAGGGATGGGCAGAAGACATGAAGAGTTATATACCACTATCACCCTTTCCTCTTCATCCATGTGTAATTTTGTGTTAAAATATGAACAATGATAATATTCCTTTTCACCACCTGTAGCAGAAACTGATGGAGTCCCTGGGTGGTGTAAATGGTTAAGTGTTCAATTACTAGCTGAAAGATTAGGGTTCGAACTCAACAGAGGCACCTGGAAAGACAGGTCTGGTGATCTGCTTCTGAAAGGTCACAGCCTTGAAAACCCTATGGAGTAGTTCTACTCCGCATACATGGGGTCACCATGAGTTGAGCTCGACTAGAGGGCAACTAACAACAACAACAGAAGAAACTGCTGGCACCCTACTCACATCACCGTGCTCTTACCATTTCAGTTCACACTGGCCTGACTTCCAGCTGCCCCACCAGCGTTAATTTGTCTGAGGTGTTTCTCTGGCCTTCTGGTCACAGGAGCTTGCGTGAGGCCAATTGAAAGTGCTAGGGGATTAAAGGTTCCTGGAAGCAGCCCTCATCTAACAACCAGCATGAATTGGTGTGTACATACCCTAGCTTTCACCCTCTGGGTGGAATAACTCTGACGGTTGTGTTCCACACTTGTTTCCAGGACTCCCTCAGCAGGGTTAACCTGAGTTGCTCACAGTGGCAGCTGGCTTGATAAAGTACCATTTATTGTCTTTCTTTCTTTCCCAGCCTCACTTGTCCACTCCTCTACTGGGAGTGGAGGGTTTCCTTCACTTTCTGTAGAAGCTCCTTACACTTAAATCCTTATCTCAGAGTCTGCTTCTGGGAGAATCCAGACTAAGATACCACATCACCTAGCAGGGTTGTCTTCCATAGTGTAGACACCAAATAAATAACATATTTTGGATAAATGGATTATGATAACTCCTCTGCTCTCTTTAGTATATATTCACTCTAGGATATTAATGTTTAAAGGTGAATATCTGGACTCTCACTTCTCAATGTTGGGAAAGTGATACTTTCTAGATCCTTCTGCTCCTGCCCACAAACCCATGGGTGCTGGATCCTAGGATTTCCACTCAGGAGACAAAGGGGCTCCCTGAACTGAAGGACGTGTCTGAAGATGAAGAAGAGTTTCTGAGGGTGACTGAGAGGGATAGACTGATACAGTAGTGGCCCCCAATAATCCATTCTTCTATGTGCCCATGCCTTTGTATGGGCACATTGACTCTGAGCTTAGCCATGTGGCTTGTGTTTTGCCAGTGGGACATTAGCAAACAAGATATGAGCAGAGCCTTGAAAAATGCCTGTATATTGGGGCTTGTTCCATTCTTGTTGCTCAGAAGTTTTCACCACCATAAAAAAAGCTTAGGATAAAAGAGCACATGGAGAAAGGTCCCAGCCATCCCAGCTGAAACTCAAATGCATGACTGAGTTCAGCTGGCACCATGAGGAGCAGAGATGAGCTGTCCCAGCTGAACTCAGCCCAAATTGCCAACCCAGAGAATCATGAGTAAATAAATGATTGTTTTTTTTCAGCCAAGAAGTTTTGGGGTAATTTGTTACTCAGCAACAGATAAAACTGATATAGTAGTTTCTCATCACTGGGGAGATTCCAGCAGGAACTGGGCAACCACATAACAGTGTGGAAGAAGAGGATTCTGCACTGGCTAAGGGGACTCTAAGACTCCTTCCAAATCTGGGATTCTTGGAGAGAAAGAAAGATAGAGCAAAAGAAGGAAGGAAGGGAGGAAAGAAGAAAGGAAAGAGTCAAAACTGAATCTGAAATCAGGAGAGCTTCAGCCCTGTTTTATTTTTTAAAGGCCTAATCTGTCTATCATGATGCTTGTCTTTCTTTCTCTCCCTTCGGTGTTCATCTCATTCCCTCTCCATGTGGATGGTGCTTGATAAGTATGAACTCTATCTTGGATGGAAACAGATTTAGTGTTTTCAGAGCTAGTATCCCAAGTCTCTCCTAAGCCCATCAAAACAGAACTGGCCTTTTCCCCAAAGCTTACTCTAATATTACAGTATAAACAAGTGGCTTCAGGGATTTATGTAACAATTGAAAAGACTCTAAAATTAACTGTGCTTATTCCTTTGTCATTTTCAATAATTGCTATTAATCTCAATTTCTTCAATCAAGCAGGACCTAGCAAATGAAATCATGAATAAGTTAAAAGATTCCCAGTTCTATTAAGGATTATAATAATCATCTATAAAAAGCCTACTCATTTCCACCTCAGGCTAAGCTGGACCAGTAGTGCGGGCTGGTTTGCTCAGTCAGAGAGTGCTTTAAGGAAGCTGAATCAAAACCAGGGGTGCTTGGGGCCTTTGTGCCTGTTGGGTGGGAGGGGGTGCTGAAGAACTAGGTCTAGTAAATATTCTGCATCTGCCCTGGGATGAAGCTGTCCCACTACTATGGGCTATACACTTTACTTCCACAACCCCATTTAACTCTCCCCATCACCTACTTTTACAGATGAAAGACCCGAGGTTCATAGAAGTGAAGGGACTTGCCCAGTTCATCCAGATGGTAACTGGCAGAGCTGGAATTTACACTCACATCAGTCTTGCTCCAAAGCCTGACTTTTTTTTTTTTTTTTTTAAAAAAAAAAAAAAAAACCTTGTGGCTTTTTCCTACATATTTTATTCCATTCTTTCTCATTTTATTTTAAACTTGACCTTAGATATTTTTATTCTTTTACTTATTTATTTTTTTATTGTGCTTTAAACGAAGGTTTACAGAGCAAACTAATTTCTTATTAAACAATTAATACACATATTGTTTTGTGACATTGGTTACCAACCCCACGACATGTCAACACTCTCCTCTTCTCGACCTTGAGTTCCCCATTACCAGCTTTCTTGTCCCCTCCTGCCTTCTATTCCTTGCCCCTGGGCTGGTGTGCCCATTTAGCCTCATTT